GGAATGCCTGTATTGCCATTGCCCAGCATGCGTTTATTCGGTTGTTTTCTTGAACTTGTACTGACTATAGGAATGACATTAATTTAAAGAATATGAAAAGTGTTTTAACAACTACCTGACATTGGCACTAAGTGAACTCAGTGGTTTCCTGTTGTTGCCTTTTCCAATTTTCTTTGGTGTAAAGTGTCAGCATTACAACTATACAAATTTTCTATGCCTAATCCCCCCTCAATTTGCAGTTTTCCAAAAACAGAAAAAGTGTCAAACAAACTCAAACTCTTCTAAATACAAACTAATGATTTAAACTATTCCTCCTTTTCCAAGTCTGTAAAAGCTAAAACAAATTAAGATTAAACAAGTTAAACACATGCACTGGCCTTAACTAACACAGGCACTATTAGCACTATTCAAACCTGTAGTTTTGTCTATCAATTGCAAAGAATTTTCAAAAATAGTTTCACCCCCCCCCAAAAAAAAAGTATAATGTAGATGCAAAAGCTAAAACATTCTCTCCTGTCTTCCCCTATCCCTTTGAACTGATCCACAGCCTAATGAAGACTGCAGAGATAGACCCAGTCTCAATGGGGAGAAGCAGCAGGCTAGAGTTAACATTTCACACACCCCACCCCCTAAAATAGCACTTCTTGAGCAAAAACCCCTCTTGCCTTTCGCACCATCTTGTTTGTCAACTGTTCCAGGAGCTGCACCAAAGTTTCCAGGACCACTGTGTAAGTACCTCCCTACTTTTGGTTTTTTTTGGAAATGTTTGGCAATGTATATAATACAAAGACTTGCATCAAGTTTAACAATTTTCACAATTAAGGCATAAGCCAGTGATATTACCGGGAGGGTGGGGGAGGAGGCCAAGGGGAGAAGCTCACAACCCCAAGCTAAATTTGCCCTGTTATCTATTTTATGGCTTGCAATGTACATAGACTAAGATACACACTGTTTATTCAGTCTTGTAGTAATGGAACTATAGTTTTATTCTTTAATTGCTATAGTTGTATGACTATCAATCTTTGCATTCAAAATCTGGAAAGAAATCCTATGAAGGGTACTGTACTTATTTTTTTTTTTGGTAAGTGAAGCTTGACTAGTCTTAAAATTAAGAAAACATTTAATGCATCAAACTGATATGGGCAAGCAACTTTTATAAAAATATACTGTATAGAAACACATTTGGAAAATTGCATAGAAAATATCCTTTTATTTAAATTGACATAAGGCACGGTTTTACTAGCTATGATTTGGCTGTAAAAATGCAAGTCTATTTTGATTACTTTCATATTATTAACAATATTTTCCATAAAAATATAGGTGCAGGAGTAAAAAAATCCTTTTACGCAGAGTAGGAAACACTCTATTGTAAAATGTCACCAAATTTACTATAATTCATTTGTAGAAAATTTGAATACTATTTTAAATCAGGATCCTACATGTTATTGTCCTGCGGGCTGTTCACTGGCTGATGCTGTGCTTTCTTCATTTCCTGTATAATCCAGGTGTTCCATCATCTAAATGTAAAATGAAAAAAATAAAGAAAAAGAAGAGAGAGAGATGGCTCTTTATAAAGAAATACTGCTTTTTCCCCATTGGTCCAAAGTATTTGTTAGCTAAGAGAAATATAATTAAACATGTGTTAGAGTGCATTTTAGCAGCATACAGATAGGAAGTCCTCTATAGATCAGAAAAGTATTCAAGCCAAATAATCAAAGCTCTTAGCTACCACTTTCCACTACAAAAGCATTCTCCAACCAAGGATCCAAGTCCTCTACAAGAAGTTAAACTTACGAGTCAAAAGTCTCTCAAATTACTACATACAGAGACCAAAAAACCTAATTAGGTTAAGCAAATTTTTCAAAGGCATGGTTTGCAGAACTAGAGTAGACTCTAGGATCCTACTTAACATTTACAGGTAACAAGCAACAGCTTGAATAGAAAAGACTAACTTTCTCTTTTCATGACTGTAAAGGCTAGCTATATTACAGTTAGTAAAAGCTACCTGTTTTGGCAACATTTCTTTGTAAATTTTATTTTAAAAAGGATAAAGGAAATGGAATTGTAAAGTCCTACAACAGAAGAGAACCTAAACCAGATTATTATATAAACTGATTATACTTTCAAATTAACGTAACCAGTTAGGTCACCTGAATAACACAAGACAACATTGTACTTCTGACTAAAAAGCAGCCTGTTTCCTTATCCACTGCGGTATTGCTAGAGGGCAATGAAGGCTCTTGTTTCCTCTCTGGGACAAGGCATTGAATATATTACAGAAGTAATACACACATTTGTTAGCATGACAAACTGAGACCCATCGGGCTTCAAGATTAAGCGCAATTAACAAGAGACCAAGGATTTAACAGTTTTGATAGCTGACAACCAGAGACAGAAGATAACAGCAATAGTAAAACTAATTCTGAAAAACAGAACATGTCAAGGCACTCATATGCCCAGCGCAGCAGGATTATGAGGACAAGGGCATAATGCTTTCAGCATCAAAAGGTAGAAAAACCTACACACGTTCTCCCATAGTGGCACATCCTGCCTAGTAGTAAAAAGGCTCCCTGTCTTTCTGTAAAACAGCTGCTCACTGCATGGGTTCTAAGCTGGGCAGATTTCCACACTATGAGGACACCATTGCTTTCTTGTCTTACTAGCACCCTCTGGGAGAACCTTGGCAAGACAAAGCCAGGCTCCGACACTGTTGTGTCATGCACTTTAGTGTGGTATAATTCTATATATAGGGTAAAGAGAATAGTTCCATTAACTTCTCTCTTCTTCTCTAGCCATGACCCACGTCTGTGCCATATCTTCTTTTATGCCAACAGAACTGTTTCATTGCAAGGTATACAAACGTACCTTATTAAAAGCAGGTTTGTTTAAACAATTTGTTTCCCAATCCCAACGCACCAACATGCCGTGCAGTAAGTTGAGATGACAGATCAAAGGCAGAAACAAGTCACTGGGACTTGGGTAAGGCTTAGGAAAGCAAAGCAGCCAGAATATCAATCTGACTAAAACTAGAAAAGGTCTTTCACATCCCTCCCTTCATGTGTTAGAATTAAGGCAAGAAGAATTAAGGCAGGCACTACACCAAAGAACTGCGTTGCAGCAATAGCATACGCTCATTCCAGCAGTGAATACCAAGTTTCCGTGATAATGATAACCTTGCATTCACTTTGGTATATCTAGAACTTTCCCCCTGCACTGTGACCGAAACCCCACATCAAAAGTCACCCAAAGCCAAACACTTCCTACAATTACAGAAGTCAAACCATCATTTTGAATGAGGATTGAAGTATTTGTTTCCAGGAAAAAACAACAACAAAAAACCCCCACACAGTACCACATTACATGAAGTAATGCCATGTATCTTCCTTCATCCTAGGGAGGATCATCTGACAGCTGGTATAGAGAAGGTAGTTCTGGTAAGCATTTTTGTAAAATGTTTCCATATTAAATTGACAAGATGCTTTCAGAAGGAACATTTAACGTTATTTGCAACGATTCACTGTATCCCAAAGTCAAAGATTCTTTTCTTAATCCTCCAACAAGGTAAGTAGTAAAAAATGTACTTATGCTGGAGATACCACCTGTACGTAAGTTTTAAAATCTCTGCTTAATATATCAGATTTTTAAGCTAATTTTAAAACCAAAATGGCTAGTAGAGCATAAAGGATGTTTGGGGGTTTTTTGATATGCTTTAATTTTACAAGGTCAGGTGAAAAAAAAAAAAAAGCAACCCCACCCCATTTCTAATCTCTCCACCATATAGAAGAAGGTAGCTCACAACTTGAAGTCAAGGACAGCAGATGCCTTCCTAAAAGCACAACATTGCATTAAGCAGCTTTTTCCACAAGTGTATCTCAGTTGTAGGTTCTCTCAGGGCAACCCCATCCTCAAAGCCTCAACAGAGCTGCAGGAATCTTTACAACAACCAGCAGTAAGATGAAGGTACCATGCAAAAATCCTGGACAAAGTTGTTGTTTCAAGCCTCAAAAGAGCCAAAGTGATCAGACCATATACGATGGAGAGCTGATGAACATTTTTAAAGTGGAAGAGATTCAGAAGCTTTTCCCCCACATCTGAATTCCCAACAGATTAAGGGGGGGGTTCAATATAGGTTAAACATAAATGTATTTTAGTTACAAAGCTATCTCCTAACATGGTGAAGTATTAAAAACTGGAAAAAACCCAGCCAAACCCCAGAAAACCACACACACACAGAGCCAAACTAGAAATGGCAATACAAACTCCTGCCTGTAAAAGGGTACACAGTACCTGTGCACACACTTGCCTGCAAGATTCACTCTGATGATGCCGCATTCACATAATTCTTAAAAACTTACAGCTATAATTAATTTGCCAGTATCTAAAAATGTGAGTTAAAATGACAGTACTAAACAGCAGGTGCATGCTGTGTAACATGCCAACAACAAATCTCTTGACTTATGATTTCAAAGACAGATACAAAAGCTTGCTAAACACTTCAAATTGACAAACTCTAAAAAATTGCAAGACTATTGTATCTAGAAAACTGCAAAATTGCATTAGTCCACTAGTTTTTTGATTGCGTTACCAAATGATTTCATAGATGGTACTGATACAAAAAACAAATAGTATTTTAAATTAAATCAGTAACTGGGAAATAAGTAGCAAATTAGTTTATCATGCAGGCATACATGAGAGTATAAACAATCCAGACAACCTAGAAAAACCTTTATTACACACTTCACAGCACCAATACTGCACGTTTGGTGGCAGGAAAGTAGGTATGTTACTCTCCTAAGAAATCCCTGTGCTTCAGTGAATAGTTAAAGTGTTTTTCTGTGCAGCAACTCATTACAGCTTAAGACTACTCCATAAAAAAGCCACACACAGCATAACTAGAATTTAAGACTGCATCATTATGCAGAAACAGAAATGCTCTCAGCTAAGAATTATGGGACCTCAGAGCTATCTTAGGGAGTCAAGTACTTCCCATACGTATAAAGCAGAAACTGAAAAGCTGAGTTTAACAATCCTATCCAAGAACTCAAGTGCACACAGCAGGACAGAAGAATTTTAAGTTATAAAAATACAGGCTTGCCATCTGATTTCAATTTGCACTCAACCCTTCCCACTTCCTAACCTCTTCTTGGGTTTGTATCTAATTTCTTTATTATTAAGGCTTTTTAATGAGACTTAAATTGTTAAAGTACTCTTTATTAAAAGAAAGCAGCTAATGAGAAAAGTACTTTTTAGTCCAGATTTAAGACACAGTCATGCAGACTTCACCATCTCAAATTGTCTTTAGTGCACAGGGCAGACAAGTTATGCTTTATAAGTAGATGCATAACTCTACAGACTGCCAACTATAATTCAAGATTATGTTTAAATGCTTAAATTCTGCAAGGAGTTGAAATTTGAAAACTTTCATTGCTCCCTCTCCATGCTGCGCTTGAGACATCGGACAGTTAAATAAATACCATTAGTGTTAGCAGTGACAAGCTATAGCCTAGTGAGGTTGAACCTTCTCACTGCAGTTCAGTGGCTGTGCAGCAGCACGACCACAAAAGCTGATCCGAATCCTTGCGCCCTATCCCACTGCAAGCACTGTAGGCAGTACAGGATAAAGCATACTGTTGAATAATAAGATGATAGACTTAGTAGACTGTAGACATGATTACTGAAGGCAAATTATAATGCTGAATATTATAACAGAGGACAACAAAATTATTGTTTAGCACTAGGCAGGTTTTCACATCGATGCAGCGGCACCGAAAAATTAGGTGAAGGACTTCCATACAGGTTACAGTAGAGAAACCAACACACATTCTAAATATTTGAAGACAATCCTAGTGATTTGGGAAATTATAGACTAGAGAGGCATCCAAAGCCTGCCTTCAGGCTTAGGAATCATGGCTCCATTGGTACTTTATATTAAGTTTTCCTTCATTCCTTCAAAGAAAGAAAAAAAACCTCAGCATAAAAGTAGATTTAATAGCTTGTCTTCACTTCTACCCTCTTCTATTGAACTACTCAGAAAAATTAAAAAGACAACAGATGCAAAAAAGAATGAAAAGAAGAAGCAGAGAGGAAAAAAAAAGAAAAGGAAACCATAAGGTGATTAATAAAGTTGCATTAAAAGAAGGCCATAATCACACCTTGTAGCAAAGGCGTCCTGGAGGAGTCCGATACCTAAATAAAATTCATTCCATTATTAAAATCACATGCAACAAAAATCAGAAAAACCCGTAACTCAAAAAAGCTAACTAACAGACTATAAACAGACAGCAGCATTCATGAAGTTTAGTCCCCTGATACACTGTACGTGCTCTTGTACCCCTATTCTCAGGACACTTTGCTCTAAGAAGTCTCCAAGGTTTCTCTGTTCCCTTGAGGACAAAGCAAACCTCTACTGAAGTCTGGTCTCCCTTGTCAATGGGGCAGCCCTGCTCCAGTCCAAATTATCATGGTTGTAGCAAAAAAGAGTCTTCTCTCACCTTTCTTTATCTTTCCTCCTCAGAATGAGCACTGAAAGCTGGAGATTTCAACCCTGGGCTTGTGTGGGGTTTTGTTTGTTTGGTTTTTGTGTGTTTGCTTGTAAGTTCAGTAAGGACAGTTCAAATTACAGCTTTATGGGGGGGGGACGGGACGGGGACAACACATGAGAAAGAGCAACATTGCAGCATTCTGAGGGTGCAGCTTGAATAACACCCTCTGGAAAAAAAATAATATAGAAATGCTCTTCAGAAAGTTATAGGAGTTAGTAAAGTTACCAGAGGTGTTCAATCACAGACAAGTCTAACTCAGGGGTGGTAGAGTGGGGGTGGAAATGAACATTTTAAATTGTGCCAGAAATGAAGTCATCTGACCTTAAAACAAGCTGAGGTTCAGAGCGGTTTTAATCCTTCAAGAAACCAGTTGAAAGGACATGAAATAACTACTATGGCAACATAATTCTTCCAAGTATGAGTTTTGCTATGAGAAGTGCAAGAAATTTTTGTCGCTAAAGACAGTTGCCAGATTTACTTGGGCCAATCTTACTCAGACCTATGAAAGGAGAAGAGTTGTTTCTGTAGACAAAAGACAGGGTATCTAGTTAAAGCGGAAGATCTCCCAAGTAATTTTGTACCTAGCCAATCTCGAGCTGAAGCAGGTGTAGAATATTAGGTAGATCAACAAAAGGTAGCCTTTAGCTGATAATACTATAGGAGCTGCGTGCCTGCAGTTTTACATTTACAAGAATTACCACCACCTGACTTCCACTGATTCACTTAAACCTTTCAATCCAGAAGCTGAAAAAGCAGGAGCTGCTCCTTTCCACCATCAACTTCACCCACCTCCCCCTGCAACAGGTTGTCATTCTCTGAGCTGAGTTCAACACTGCCTAGATACAGGTGATAGTTTCTCAATTCAAACAATAACGGACTTTAGGTCTCAGACAAAATTTAGAGTAACCTTGAGACTGGTCTGTCTTATGATAAATGCCAGCTCACAAGGGCTACTGGCACACTCAGTTACTACAGCAAGGCAAATCGGGGGGAACGTACGCATGTCAACAGGCAGAGGCAGCCAGCCACTGGGGTTTTAAGGACTGCAATTCCTGGGTAGCGTTAGAGACAACCAAAGGGGAAACCCAAGCCAGTGTGCACACAGTGCGCACTGCGATAGAAAACAGTTGTGTAACCACCCAGCTATTTTGTTGCTGAATACTCCATATAATCCTGATTATGCAGGACACCAGCGATGCATGGAAAGTTTCTAAAGTTCTAGTTGGTCACAAACTTTTTTGAACTGTCTCTTAATACAGGACTACTGCAGATTGGAATCTGCATGCTTAGTTCAGTGACTCATGTTAAACCACATCAAGTTGATAGCTGAGGAATGTTAAAACATGAAAAAATATTTCAAAGAAAGTAAAACAGAACAAATTACTCTGTCCCATGAGTACCAGCTATTTCATCTCCCTTAATCTTTGTTCTGCCATGTCAACTACTAGACTAAGATTTTCTAAGAGTAAAGACTGTTTTTCCTTATTAGTTCCGGAAGATAACATGAAGACTAGCAAAAATTGGATTGCAAGTGATATATTACAAAGTACTTAGAGAAGCATATACTCAAAGCCATTAACAACAAAATACTTAAGGCATCCAGCCTACCTGGTAACTGCTTCCTTTCCAAAACTTCTTCATCTCTTTGCGCCTCCAAGCCACAAGCGAGCTAGTAATGAGTGTACATGGTACAAGATAGAGAAGGGCAGGTTGTCCCATCTTCATTAATGCCAAAACAATGAAAGTCAGCACCATACCAATGGCATAAGCTATAAAAAGATATTTATACACATACAATCAAGAACAGGTGAATTTTTAAATTAAGTCACTCATTTAGTAAGCCAGAATTATTAATTTTTTTAAAGTAATAAATTCCTTGTTAATATAATTGAAGAAGAGGGATAACAGGTTGCTCTGTATTTGCAAGCTTTCTCCAACTGACTATTATAGAGAATACTCACCTTAAATACAGGTAGGCACGTTAAAAAGAGATTATAAATAGATTCTTGACAACATTGAACCTTTACTTAAAGAAAACTATCTAATTCTGCCATTTAAAAAAAGCTAGCATGAAGACTGACAGTGCTGAAACATCACATGATTTACCTATGGTACAGGAAATGTAGTATACAGAAGATGAACCTGTTTGAACATCAAATCTTCGACAATAGGCAACCAGAAGCCCTTGAAGGAGGACAAAGAAAAAAAGTTAATGAAATATTTAACCGTGAATTTTTTTTCTCCCCAATCCTCCAAATCAAAGCAGCATAAAAAGAATTTATAGTAAGACTTCCCATTACTGTATGTTATCTTCTTCCCATTTATTTCTGGAAAGCCAAGAACCAGTTTAAGAAATCTTACAGTAAGTCTTGAAAATCAAAAAGATAATGGAAATAAGAGCCAAGTGAGCTTGGTATTAAAACATTTTGGTTTTATAAGCAAGCTAATTACATCATGCTATTTTCAATTTTCTAATACAGAAGAGTAACAACCTAGTTTTAATACTTTTCTTCAATAGGATTTTAATGCTCGCTCTTAACAATCAGCAGTTTTGCCTGCATGCTGTTCACAAGATGGTGCTTTGTGCCTGACTTGAGTAATTTGCTCAAGACTCCAACTATGGCAAAATTCAGCTCTTCTGAGAAAGATGGAAAAACTTGATAATACATTTTCCGTTACCTCACCTCTAATTAGGTAGTCTAGGATACGATAATACTATGAAGTCACAGAATATTTGCTTTCTGTGAGATTTCAATGAGATTTAATTAATACTGACAACTGGATTTATCTGTGGGACTTGTATTTACACAATACAGTGCACTGGAAAAGCAAAAACCCTTCACTATTTAAGTGTTCTGTAACATACTAAGCTTTCTTATATTGTGGCTTTTGTTGTATTCTGCACTGACAGATCAAGGCCAACTGCTGCATTTCATTTAGTAATAACTTCGTAGAATAAACTTCAATATAAGTCAGTTGAGAATCAAACCCCAAATATTTAATCATAAGTTACAACTGCCAAAAACTTTTGCTCACCTGGGACAATAATGTCTCCAAAACCCAACAATGAAAATGGTATGTCACACAGTGTCGATGCAGAGTATTCAAGTCTAGGCACTCTAATAACCACAGGTAACTGGAAAACAGTATTTCAGAAGCCCACATAAATCTAATCTAAAGCATCCTGGTGTTTTGGATTTGTTTGTTTGCTTGCTTAAATTCATAGACAGTTTTAAAATAATTAATCTATCGTTAATGCAGAACTTCAAGGTAGGTAGAACCTAAAGTAAAAACCAGAAACCAACACAGTGGATAAAGCTTAAGGCAAGAGGTAAACTGGAATTTCAGATTTACAAATAATATGCACACACACACACAAAAAAAAAGTTAAAACCACATTTAACCATATAATGGGAATAACTAGTCTGGATTATTAACCTAACTATATAGAGCATTGATCAATGATTTCCAGGCCCTGGAGAGAAATTTGGACAGTCAGGTTTTCCCCAAAAGAATAGTCTTTTCAGAGGGAATCATTTAAAAATCCAGTATCTGAAATACAATCCTTACTTTCTCATGGGGAGCTGAGCGTTCAGTAGGGACTTCCACCAAGTTTCCATCATTCTAGGATCAAACCCAAGTCAACAGGTATTTAATACTTAAAAGAAAATAGAAGCAGCTGGCTATATTTTGTGAGAAAGTTATGCCGAAAAGCACACTATGAATTAGCTACGCAGTGTCAGTATTTTTATGCTGCACATACTGAAACAACTGTTCATACCTTTTCACTGTTTCCAAAAGGACCAGCTGCAACTTCAACCATTATACTTGCCCCATTCTGAAATTAAGGTTATTTTTCAAAAGTTAGTGGCTTAATATACCAAAACATTCATACTACATTTACAAAACCTGTTTGTACCTCATCTTACAATTCAGGATTGGAAAAATCCTGAATATCAAAAGGAAGGCACTAGTATCGTACAGTATCATACAGTACTGTTTTGCATTAAAAACATGTAGTTCAACCTAAAATAACTGTTTTTAAAAGAAAACGGATAACAAATCCACTACATGTAGCTGGAAGTTTCGATAAAAAACATGTCAGCTTTTTCTGCTGTGAGCTTTCTGCTTCAAAATAAAAGAAGGTGCGCTTGCACACAGTTCATACTACAGTGCAAATAAGCATGGCAGAAAGTCCTAGAGCATGTCCTAATATATGGGTGTTAAAAGCAAAAGAAGGAAAAAAACTGGAGAACAGTAGTTTCTCAGCATCACACTGTCACACAATTGGGGACAGCTTACTTTTGGCCAAGTGATTGCTGAAAACTTAGTCATTTAACAAAGTTTATGGCACATCTACAAGTATTATGCTCTATAGCCCATACAAGATGAAAATTTAGGCCGCTGCTGTCTTAAATGGGGAAAAAGAAGAGTAAGTCAGCATTTCTGCATTGAGAATACTGAAAACACTGATGCATTTGACAAAAATACTGCCCCAACAACCAGACAACAGTTTCGGTTTTATTTTAAAGATAAATTCACAGACATACCTTTGTGATAAATGGTGTTATGAAGACAAAAAACACATCGTATAGAAGAAGAAGGCCTAGAAGTATCACACAGGACTGGCAAAAAAAGAAGAAACTATTAGCGTAGTCTTTCAAGGACTGCATAGCTAGATTCTGGTACCATTACTGTACCACCACGTTTAAAAAAAATAAAAGGAAGAAGAAACACCGCACACCCTCCCATGTTTTAATTCTGGCATAAAATTTAGAACAGGATTCATTTATTTTAATAATTATTAAAAATTGTAAAGATTTTTTTAATATGTATTTCTTGAGTGTTGAAAACCTACTTCCTGACGCTAAACTTACAGATTCACGACATTAGAATATTTTCTTAAGGTAAGCAACTTACAGTACCTTAAAGTTGGGCATTTTCAGTGTTTTAATAAAGTTTAGGCAGAAAGCAACTCCCAAAATATCTTGCAAAATCCAAGCCCACCTACAAATAAGAACACATTTTTACACATTGTTCCAAGTACTGCTGGAATGTAAGTGCAATAATAATTTTGGATTTTGCTGAAATAGCAAGATTGCAAAATGGATTGGAAAGCAAGAAATTAATTTTTAGGAAGTATTGCTTCCGAAACCACAAAAATACTAGTTCAAGATGTCCAATTTACACTAGCCTCTGGTCATCAGTAGGTAACTGTTCTTCATCAGTGTACCACAGAGAAAGTGAGTTGAACAGAGCCCGTAACAGGGCCTCAGTGTTCACTTATACAACTGCTCACTTGACTGGAAGCCCTACTTAACATCGGGCTCAAGGTGCTACTTTGGATCGTACTGTAATATTTGTGTACTTGTGGTGCTGTGTTTCCACTGGACCACAGGAAGCACAGGTCCTATGGTCCTTATGCTATTTTTGCACTTTTTTCCTTCGGTGGCAATCATTAGCAACCAAGCTAGTTCTTCCTCATCTTCTTAATTTTTTGTAACTTCAAATTACCACACAGTTCATTTGTATAGCTTTGTTCTCCATTATTCCCATGCTTTTTGAGCTTCATAAATACTTTCATGACTTTTTCTGAAATCGGCACTGGAGTTTAGAAGGACGCTATGCTCCAGGATTAGTTATATGATGGGAAGTTCCTTAATGACAATTATTCCTATTGCTCTTTTAAGTCAGAATGCGTCACTCACCTATCTTCATTTCGAAACACTGCCCAGACGACAGCTGCTGCTATGCAGAATGCAGCAAGAAAAATAAGCCTCACTTCAATGCTTTTGTTGCAACATGCAATCCTGAAAGAAAATAATTAAATTAAAAAAGAAAGACTGTAACAGCCAAAACACATGCCTGTGCTATCGCGGGTCCTTCAGCTGAGAAGGTGTTCTCTTCCTGAGAGCTTCTCCTTTGCCCGTTTGTTCCACCCGTACTCAGGTGGCATTATTCTGGCAACTGCAGTACCAGTCCTTCTCTGGGCTGCATTAAAAACATGCCCACAGATAGTAAGCCAAGTTGGGCTTTGATGGCCAGTCCTCATTTTAGCAAACACATCCAGGGAAGGTGGCGAGGACATGGATTTATTGAATCCATTTCTTTCATGTAACAATTATGCCCACAGGGCTATGTCAGTGAGGAACAGTCATGTCATGATTCCAGAAAGGGGTGGTGGTGGGGAAGATGAATTTTAGGACACATAATACAAGATTAAAAATGGAATAATTACGTATTGCAAAACTGTGAGCCAATATCTGTTTCCACTGCCTACTCAATTTTCTGGGACAGTTCTTAAACTGGTATTAACTAACAGAAGTAATGCCTGTCCTGCAGCTTACACAAAACCTGCTGTCTTTGCTACCTGATCTCCACCTTTGATGTGCTGCTGGATTGCCTCAACTAATATCCTGCACGAAGTAACACGCAAACATAGTCTTACGCTTCCAAGCTTATAAGCATTATCTTTTTGGGGAAAGGCACCATTTTTTTGCATTAAATGTAGGGGGTTTTAAAGTGAAAATGCAGGGGATGAAAACAAGGACATTCCCATACTCACTAATACCTGCAGGATATTTAACTCAGAGTAGTAAGAAGAGGCGACATGTACACTGGTGTCAGGACTGTAACCACTAACTTCTAACACAGAGGCCACGAGCGATGTGTTGCCTTCACAATAAAAACTTAAAACTTGGTCTATCACAGGTGCAGTACAGATTAACATGAGGAAATAAAAACAACCCTCTATTGCTCAAAACAGGACCAAACGTGCAGGAACCCCCTGTACAGAGTTCCTTGACGAACAAAGTGAGCACACCCTACAGGCAAGGGGAATTTTGTAAAACCAAGCTCAGGCAGCCAAGCAGAGCCGTTCAAGTTTGATTATAGCAGTGCTTTCAAATAAAGGTAATGCAGTAAATCTCCCACAACACTATTTTAACTGTTGATTATGCTACGGATACCTTTAATATCTATTAAAGGAGCTTGTAATTTCCTTTTTTAACAATCCCGCACACTAAACCATACGGAAACAAAAGTGTTCTTGTATTTTCACACTACTTTGTGTAGCAACCAGAAAATACCCAAAAGAAAGCTTACATTTATAATTGAAAGGTGTACAATACCTGCACTGCCCAAATGGGATTTCTCCTATTAATGCCGCAAGACAGTTGTATAGACTCATTGCAGATGCCAAGCAGAAGACTGATATTATAACATACACTAAAAAGAATGGAAGATGGGAATCAGTGACAAAATACAATAGGAAAAAATAGCGAACGGGAATCAAACACAACGATGTACATTTGATATAAACCCTATCAGTTACAGCACTGCTCAATACAGTCATTGGAGACAAGAGTAAGCTGATTACAGAAAGTGCTGAATTCTGAGTGTCTCTGCCACAAGAGTTGTTATCAAGCAAAGACTTGAATTTTGAATTTTTTTAATTGAAAACTTTCTACCAGCTTTCTCAATTTCTGATAATACTCCCCAGTCCAGATTTTCCCTTCAATCACTTTGCTTATGCATAAAAGTTTCAGCATCTTCAAGATCTGACTGATGATTTTGATAGCATTTTAAGATACTAAACACCCATCCCTTCCAAAAATTTCTATGTGGTTAGGAACCACCTTGTTAGGGAAAAACACGATATTCCACGTTCTAACTGAGTCTGTTGTGTAAGCACCCTGAAATGTGGACAAACAGTAAAACCAGTTGTTTGCTAGTTGGGGTTAGGTTTGGAGGTTTTTTTGGTAGCAAAGGTTTGGCTAGAAAGCAATTCTGATACCTGTAAGGAGATTACTGAAAAAAACAGACAAGAAAGGTGGATTTTATAGTTGTAACCAGGATTGTGCACCATTGTGATCTGTTAAGGCCCCAACAGGCAAAACAAGAAGTTTTGCACAACATGTTCCTCTGAATTTGGTAAGAAATAATCTGTTTAGGGAATCTCAAGTTTTGAGGCAACAATGCAGAATTAATAATGCCTGAATACTTACAAAAAGAGATAGAGAACTCCATCACAGAGCTCAGTTTTGCAACTGGCTTTGTGCGGGAAACACTCCCTCCCTAGTACTGCAGTTACAGAATTGATCATAACTCCAAGTAGATATTAGGATTTACATTCACACACTATAGTAGTGACGTAGCAAAGTGGGGGTGTTTTAGTTGGTTGTTTTTAATTAAATACAGACTTTTCCCTAGGACAGCATATCATACCATGGTAACAGCTTCTTTACCTGCAAGAAATTTTATCTATATCTGCTCCAAAGCGCACAGAACTAAGGCTTCTTAGCAAAAAGCTCTTATGTATCTTCTTTGAACCATTCACATTTCTTCCTCCCCCTAACCAATTTGTTACTCCTCTCCCTTTCTCCTTTAAGAAGAGGCCTCTTTCTTCACTTCTTCCTACATCTCACCTGAAACATCTCAGAGTAAACAGTAAAACTTTTAATCTAAACATTTTGATCACATTAAAAGGTTCATCAGTCTTTTAGTGGGACAAGTTTAGCAAAGGTAGCATTGCCCATAGTCAAGATAACAAAAGCTAAACAAAATCAAGAGTCGGGATGGTGAATTTTCTTTTGCAGAAGCAGGAGGTTAACTGGTAACAAATTCTAGGAAAGAGCGAATTTACAAAGCTTTCAGAATGAAAGTTACATTGTTCATACTAAAAAGTGTAATTTATAACAGTGTACATTTTCTGGTTGCATGATTTGAGGGCAGGAAAAAAATAAAAATCAACCAACAGATCAGAAACTATATTTTACTGGAATTGCGCAATTCAAGAACTTAGCTTATTGCTAGTATGCTTGAGTTTATTCCATTATGGTAATGCCATTTCACCTGGTACTTTAATTAGGGCACTGCAACCACAAACTCAACGTCAACGTAGCAACACCTAACAAAACCTTTCACTCTAAACACTACTAAGTTATCATTGCCATCCTCCCAAAAATGTCGACACACATCATACACTTTTTTTACTAGTCGCTAGTCACCTGCCCTCCACATTACTTCAGTCAGAATAAGCACTGTCAAAGCAACCTTTGTAAAAGAGTGGAAGAAAGCTTCTCTCTTTTTTAAGTAGCAACTATATCTTTACAACCCTCCACTCATACATGGAGAGAACAATTTAAAAAGTTACATTAATTTTAGTTTAGAAATCAGGCCTTTCAGACATAGACACCTAATAAGATCATGCAGGAAAATAAGTCAAATGAGATTATCCATTGTTTCTTACCTAACCATTTGTAGAAGAAATAAAGTAAGACCAGCATGACACAACAGATGACAACAAACAAGATTACTGTTACAGGGGTGAAAGTAACATTTTCTTCTTTCTTCCGTCTTGTTTCTCTCTCCCCAGGACTCACCATTGCTTTCAAATTCTCGCTGTTTTAAGAAAGCAACAAGCACATTTACCTCAGATGACAGATTATGAAAATGTTTTACTATGACCAGAATTATTGGTTATAAAGCATTTAGAGTAACAGCATTTCAGGCTAACCCTTCATGCAATTATTAGACTTAAAAACACAGAAAGACAGCATGCTTGAGTTTCTCTCCACTTTTTAATGGTGATATGAACTTCTAACCTAGCATAGATCACAAGGAAAAGGTTCTGAACTGCCCTGCTTTCCAATTGTGTAGTGATTACCAACTTTAGGGAGTACCCCCAACCAAAACCCTGATCCATGTGAGGAAAAACAGTCCAATACCAAAATTCTTAAACTCACTTTCAGGATGCACATGCTCATCATTATTAGCGCATCACCTCTGACTACAAAATTTCTTGGGCTAAACATAGTCAATCTGATCAATATGACTATGATAAGTCAAAACCATGGGTATTACACACTGTTTTAAAACCTCAACTACAGACATTAAGCGTCTGCAAAACCCATTCATGTTAGCAGAATGAAACTAAGTACTAGGTCTTTTACCTTTACACCCCATAATTACAGAGTAAGTGAAAGAGAGGGGGTGTAACTGGGGATTTTCACTGGCAGTAATATTTCTGTGCATACATACTCCACATTTATACCTCACCATGCAAAATAAGAAGTCTTAAATTGTTGTGTTTGTTCTCTGAGCAGATAGCCCTACTGCTCTTTAGTACAGACACTAGTGCAACTTGCCCATCAGATAGCATGTTCCTGACAAATCCCAGGACCTACCTACAAAATGCTGAATTCAGCACTGAAACAGCTACCTTCAAAAGAGAAAAACCCACAGAAGTAAGGCAATTCGTTAGATGAATCACCTTCTCAGAGGACATGCTTTGAATAAGCAGCTTTAAAAAAAAAAAAAACTCATCCTAGATTTTATGAGAGTACACTATAACAAGTTTAATATAATTACATCGAGCTATTTTTCAATATGGGAGACAGCATCACATTTTGTTATTTTAGCATGCAGTGCAGCCACACCCTACAGCACTGTAGGGTAAAAAAGCAGCATAATCAGATCCAACCTTTAAAAAAAGAAACACGCACACACCCCCTCCTGCTACTTCTTTAATCTCTTTAAAATCACTAGATTTGCATAACTAGTGGGAAAGAGGAACCTGTTGTTATCACATACAATCCACTCCCTGTTGTTCTGGGGAGCACAGCCCTAGGACAGCACCGAGAAGGGGAAGCCCTATATAGCAACGCACACCCGCCCGTTCAGCGTACGCAGACACCCAAGAAATACTGCAGAATAACACCATGCTATGAAAGGCCGGCTACACCCAGTTTAACCCCAAACTAAAAACAGTTCTGTGCATTGAATGTGCCTCACTTCACAAAACAAAGCCGCACACCCCTCAAGCACAGTGCAGAAACCCTACTGCCCCTCTTCTCCCTGCATTTGCCACATTCTCCGCTTCCACTCCCTCCCTTCCCGGCACAGGGACTGCTGCTGCCTCCTTGCCCCTGCCTAGGCCTGGAGCTGCCATTGCCCCTGGCTCTCTTGCTCCACCAGATAACGCACAAAGCTGAAGCAGATAAGCCTGGTTGGACTTTAACTGTCTGGAGCCACCCAGACACAACCCAACCAGTTCCCCAGGGCTCCTACTGACAGGAATGCAGTGCAGAGATGTCCCAGAGGGTGCTGCGCAGCCAGCTGGGAATCAAGCAGTTGTACAGATCCCTGCCAATGTGGACACTGCATAGAGCTACGTATGTACCTCTTGGATCACTGGATTTTAAAGGTGTCATTGAAATACCTACTTTCTATCAGGAATATTGGAGTATTATGATGTTACTTATAGGGTATTTGGTAATTTGTCAAAATGTTAACTCCTTTCTCCTCCCAAGAGCTGCATTATCCCCCAGGGACTTTTACAATCTACTACTCAATGTTCCTCAAAGACCCGCGTGATTTTTCAAAGGTTGCAGTGCTCAAGCATTTCATGGCAAAGCAGCTAATTGCACCCAGATCTTCTAATCTTTTAACTACCAACCTAAACGAACATAATTTCTCAACTGATCAGAGTGACAGTTTTCACAAAATTTGTAGTCCATGTAATTTAAGCAGTTCTGTTTAACAAACTTACAGTTCTGCTACTCCACTCCAGTAGCCTCCTAGTGCCACTGTAAACACAGCGATTAGGAAGATGACAACCATGCTGTAATCAAACTCTGGCAAAGGTGGTGAATACAGAGTCACATTAACTTCATTTCCAAGCGTCTGAAAAATAACATACAAGTTGGCTCATCAGGACAACAATTAAATTATATTGCTTTTTTTCCAACAAGATGCACATAACGATTTCTCTGCTCTTAACCAACACAAGGCTTGAGAGCAAGTTTTCAACTTACTGCACAAGACATCCCATATATTTGCCCGGTCACTGTAAAGACGCAGTGCTTTCCATGCTCCCTTTCAGGAAGGTCAGCTTTGAAAACAACCCTATTACTACTGCTGTGGAAACATATGGATACCACAAGGCAAAATGGTACTTCTTGGCATTCTTTCAACACTTCTGGGAAGTTGTGCCTCTAGCCCAAATGTTTTTCATCCCCCAAATATACCAAGTACTATCAAAGACGTCTGCTCTGCAGGAAAGCACATTTGAGTCAATCGGCTTGAAATACAAACTCACAGGTCCTCTGAGGTATCAGCAGAGGTCTACCTCTAGCTCTTGAAACCACAAAACTCACAGTTCAGACACAGGCACGATGCTTCAGACAGGACACAGTGAAAACTCAAGGTGGCAGAAAGTTATGTACTAATAGCTTTACATGAACATGATTTGAGATGGATTCAAAAGAAAAGAAAGCAATTTCACGCTACTTAAAAGTTTAAGACCAACTAAAACAAAAAAAGCAACAATCAGGTGAAGGACACTGAAGAAGATGGGAGGGAGCGCAGAGACGTAACTGATACTGAATTGCACAAAAATCTTGAAAGCAAGCCCAAGATGCTTCCATTTGACTGAAAGATGAGGTTTAAGAAACAAAGAAAGGATAATAATTTGACAGGAAATGGAAGGTAGTAGGGAAGAAAGGTTTGCTGTTGTAGTCAAAGTAAGTCACGGCATCTAAAACAATCCTGCACTGAAAACAGACTTCAGAGATGCAGCAGAAAAAGAGATTTGTTAACAGCCTGCATGTGGGATAAAAGTAGGAGAGAAGAACATGCCAGGCACGTTTGGCTACAGGAAGATGAAACGGGCAGTAGAGAGACTGAATGGGAAACTGAGTCATGTAGTGGAATACACTGGCCATATGTGAAGAAAGCTGATTCGTCTCAGCATCTGAATTATCTAATTACAGATCTTAACCTCACTGCAGGCTAAAGAAGTCAGAATCATTCCTTTGCCTGAAGTTACAGAAGTTCAGAAAACAAGAAAGAATTAAATTCTAGTGAAACATTGCAGTTGTATGAAGTGGAATATAACATTAGATAAAGGCAAAAAACCCATATGCAAATTACAGCATCCTGTATGTGAAAAAACAAACACCTCAAGCAAATGAAAACACAAAACAGACAAAAAAAAGCGCCAAAAAACCCCCAAGAAACCTAAAGGCTTATACATTTTTAGTATTCGATTCCAACATGTCTTAGTCCAGTTTTTCCTGTGAGTTTCATAAATCTTATAAAGTATAATTCACATTGGAATCTAGAATGATTGTTTCCTTTTGTTCCTGCTGTTGTGGTCTTCTAGACATTTACAAAGTCTCAAATTCCACCACAGGGAGCATTAGAATCAAATGCATCGCATCAGGTAATGACTCTACAAGAGAGCTCTCCACTTAGTAGGAGGTTTGTAACACTCTGCTATCGCTATCAAGACTCATAATATACTTGAATGGTGAAAGCTAGCAGATGAAGTCTTCTAAGAGTGCTTATACAAACTAGCTACCCTCAGACTGCTGCTGTCTCTCTCTTCTAAATAAAAGGAGAATATTGGAAGCTTTGAAAAGAGATAAAAGAGAAATACAAGTGTAGTAGGAAGAGTAGAATGGCTGCCAGCTTCTAAGCAGCACGTATCATTCAAAACGACAGCTGCCAGTGACACGACAGAAAGCTTTGGCCTACATCAGAACTAGGAAAGGATCACTTGTAGTCTAGGCTGTGTTCCTCACTACTTTTATGAAGGCAGTCTCATTCTAAGACACAACTGAATTCTTTGATTCAACAACAGTATGAGACATCATCTGGCACACTAATCCACTAGCAAAGTTCCACTGGTGAATTACTATAGCTGCACAGAAGTGATTCCACAGGCCACCACCCCAAGCAGCACCAGGCAATAAAGTGGTGCAGAGAAGACACAGAACAAATGAGGGATCTAACCTTGGCCTAGTGCCCTTTCATGTTAGCAGGGCATATCTTAAAACCACTCAACTAAGGAAACAACACTTATCTTAAAGGAACAAATCTGAAGACAGAGGACAACCCAAACCAAAACACAGTATTCATCAAGACTATGGCAGACTGGGGACAGTCATCACAAACCTTCGGTCATGTCAGTGCTCGGCAAGAACCAATCTTTAATGGGAACAGACAGTAAACAACCAAAGTCCTTTACATCTAGGCACGGTTTCAGTTTGCATACTCACCTAAGACAACCTCCCACGGCAGCTCTGAAGGTTAAGAGCAGAAATGGTGAAGTGAGCTTGCAAATTCACTCCAAGAAGCTAAGACTACACAGTGCTAGCCTCTGCTATTCACAGAAAAAACATGTGCAGTGCAACTCCTGCCTAGCAAAGCCATTTAACACTAAATAAAAACAAGACAACAACAAAATAACAACAGAAAAAGCCACACCAAAGATACAATACTGTTTTCTTTAAAACCCTCTGCAATATTCTGTATCCTAATATTACATGTCAAGGAAAACAAACTCCAAATACCCTCAAAACAGACTCCCCTGATTATAAAGTGTAGGAGATACCACAACTGCTACCTTTTAATGAGACACACTTGGCATCTCGCCACAAACTCATCAGCACAAACTCAAACTATACTGCCTAACTGCTCTGTAACAGATGCCGTCACCCTAAATAGAGCTTATCCTCTGGCAAAGACAAACACAACCTCAAAACTTCCTTAAGATCCAACCTGATAAGGTACTGCTTGCCTGAAAGGTATCGTGCCAGCAGATACCAGCTCAGCTGTTCTAGCTTCTGTGCTAGAGGAACAGCCTTCTTGGGCTATAGCTTTTGACATATGTCAGGCATCTGCAATTGTATACAAGTCTACTGGAAGGCTGCTTATCTCTTTTAGCAGGAAGACTTCTAAGATTACCCTCCCTCCAGTTAGGTATGATGTTTCCCATTCTCAGTGTTCCAATTAATCAGTCTCTCAAATTAACCCAAATGGGAAGACTAGAACTTCATGACTTAATATCCATCCTCTTCTGTGAGACTGAAAACAGTATCTATGCACATTCAAATCAGGTAGACATCCATATCTGACCTGAAATTATTTTATGTATTTGTTCAAAAACCTAAGTTTATACAAACTATAACACGTTGAAGTTATAATACTTACCAGCTGCATATCTACTATATCATTGTATCTTATAAGAGCAACTGGAATAGTCACATCTTCAAAACCAGTCTTGTTATCCGAAAGGGGAGACTAAAAGAGAAAGTGTCAGTGATAAGTATGTTGAGCCTATTTGCAAAACAGGTTAGATCCCTAAAAGCAGATTATCCTTTAAATTTCGGGGGGGGGAGCTCATTCATCACCTTTTGCAAAAGGTCAATGAAGACAGATGTACTTAAATCAAAACAGGTGATACTACCAACACATCTGGATTCATAAAGTTCTTGTGTTTTTATAGTATTACAAGAGATAATCAAAACTGGTTTTATTCTCTATGCTTTTAAAACAAGATTAGCTTTTCACGATAATCACAGAAAGTCATAAATTGCAAATACCTGTACGTACATGTTGCAGCTGTAATAGAGAACAAAAAACCAACAGAAGTATCTGTACAGATATCTCAAAATGCCTTTTTTAATTTCTAATTTTGGACTATGTTTTCCTAGCTTATTTTTGTCATGCATGTCTAAAACAATATCACTTAAGATTACAGGGAGTTCAGAGTACACTATAATTAGGGAATGATAAAGACAAGCGTTTGCATTCAGAAACATCATTAAAGATACAAGGGACAGATTAAAAATACAATTCAGCTGTAGACACTTTTAGGTGATATAAGACATCATTGCACATAGCTAATAAAGAATGACCCTCTCAGTCTCAGGAACAGCAGTCGTGCCAGCACAGCGCTCTGTGGGGAAGGTTAAAGGCTCACGCTGGAATCCCACACATTGCAGGGTCCTCTGCTTTTGGGGTTTCTCTCAGCTAACCCTGCACAACACTGCATTGGACCAAATAGATAAGACACTATTTCACTACAGAAGAAAACTACATTTGTAACTTACCAGCCTAGGTTTACTGGCAATCAACAGCATTTTAGCACCTGAACTTTGTGCAATTCTTGCTTTCTCCAAAAAAGTGCAGTTTCCTCTCATCACTACAACTGCTTTGTCCTTCATTAAGCCAGAAGGAACTTCAGAAGAATTGCAGAGTACTGTAGAAGTCAGGTTTTCCAGAGTGCTGAAAGTCTGCAGAGAGAAAAGGAACATGATGGAAGTAGGAATTTTGATACTGCAAACTAATCTAGAAGACATTACTATGCTCCCTAATTTGAAGTTTGCCAGAAATAGGCACAGCAGAAAGGAATCGTTAATTCAGGAATATAGCATCAGAGCAGCAGTGTCTGCAGCCTGCAATACTGAGGGACATTTACAGCAGCGTATAGCTGAAATATCTGGCTGTTTCTAAATGCAATTTCACAGCAGTTGTTGCTGTAATTTAAACGTAAGAAACAGGTTATATAGGAAAAGCATTGCTTGTAGTTCTGAGGAACACGCTGTGTGATATTTCCAGGCTTCACAAGCCAAGAGAGCACTGACAGACATAACATAACCAGAGTTCTGAAGTGTAATGCTTGTTCAAAAACAGTTGGCGAGCCTGATAACATATTACTTATTACAAAAGAATTTACAAAAAAGATTTTTATCCTTATTTCAAAGTTCAAACCCATATTGACAATTATTTTTAAATTATTGTCAGTTTTCTTTAGTTAATCAAGACACCCCTGTGGCCAAAGCAGCACAGCAAAGATGTTTGGGGCAGACAAATGATTTTTACTCTGTTTCACATTAAGTTAACCTGCTAATGAATGACAGGAGGGAAGGGAGAGAAAACTGCCTTGATCACTTCCAAACACAAAGTATTTCCTGTTTATAAGAAGAGTGCCTAAAGAAAAAAAAAAAAAAAAATTGTTTCTGCCTTACACCCCAGTTTGGCTCAAAGACACGCACTCAGAAAACATGGCATGATGATACATTCCACATAATCTCCTATTCCACCACAAGTTTTCAAGACAATTAAACAGAACATCAGACTGATGAATCAACACAAGACTGCTGTTTCACAAGTTTACAACACTTTTGCAAACAAATAAACATAAGTTTTACTCCCAAATCTAAAACTTGGACATACTGATAACACCTGAAGAAAAAAAATGTACAGTATCAGTTGAATATATAAACATACTTAAAACCAGTTCTAAGCATAGAGAGCGTATCACCTTTGTAAATTTTAGAAACTTTCTTTCTGAAGTACAGAAATGTTCATTGTAGAGATTTTTGGGGGGGCGGGACGATGACACTACACAACCCAAAAAGCTAAGTATTCCATGCAGGGCCTATATAACTCAAAATTTTGAAGACCAGTTACAGCTGATCCAAATTCATATCGCTTTCTAGTTTTCTTAAGGATTATGACTGTGAGTTACTTACAGCATTGTCCAGGCTCTTTGGAAGGGATATCCAATTAGAATTGTAAATTATGCAGTAATCCTTTGTTACTGGAGGCACACCACTTCCAGAAGCGTGCAGGATCCCCTCATCTGCAGTTACCTGCAATAAACCAGGGAGTTCTGAATTAAACAAAGTTCAGAGTATCAGTATACAGATATTCTTCTAAAAAGCTGTTACAAGAGAAAAAGCTGTTTGGAGAAAATGAATTTATTCAATTAATTATTTTACATAATGATTGATTCCATGAGAGATGCGTAGCTTGAAAGCAGGATGGAAAAAACAGTAAAAATCAAGTTACTGTATAAAACTATTTATCCTCACTACAAGTACAATGTACTTGTTACAGGTGCAGTACATGTCACCAAGTAGAATACTATCAAGAAACCCATGCAAATTATTTCAGATACTCTCCAAAAAGTGTAAAATTTTACATAGAAAGCAATTAAAACAGTACATGGGAAAGTGGATTAAAGTCTTTCTCTCCTTGCAGACTCTAGAATTTCCCCTACTAATAAAAGTATTACATCGCAATTCCTAGAATATTTTTATCAAATAACTGCAAATGCAAAGAGATCAACTAGTGTACGTTAAGAATTTGTGTAGTTAAGGAAATATTGGTGTCTTGTAAGATTACTCTCAGACTGCCTCATATAATATGATTTCTGTTGTTCACTAATACATAGGAATTTTAAAACTTCTGATAATTTTAGGGATATCTACTTCTCCCCAAGCATTAATACACTAAGAAAGGTCAGGTATCTAAGTGGATAAATGAACAGACTAAGGATTAGATGCAGCTACAGCTGCAAAGTAGTGAAAACAAGTAAGTGTCATTTGTATCTCAAATAAGCGTCACTTTAAGAAAATTGGGAGATGATCTCTCAAGAAAAACAGTTGAAATGAAACTGACCTCAATATCAGTTAAGTATCAATAGATTAAAAAAAAATGCAAATGCTGTTGTAAATTCCACTTCTGTCTGAAAGAACACTGAGATATTAAGCTAGAAGCAGGCATGGGTATGGGGGGAAAGCCCAAATGTTTGTCTGAGGTACAGTGCTAATCTTTAATAGTGCTTTAGAGGCATTTCTCCTCCGGCTAGCGTACCAGTATTCTGCGGCAAGTGAGAACTTGAGAGAAAAGAAAAACATGTGACAATATTGTTTCAGAGGTTTATGTCTCCCTGGGTTGAATAGCAAAAAACCTTCAGAGGAATCCATTATACTGGCCATAGCGCATGAACATCTGCTGGGAGAACTGTGTCAAAGGGCCCAAGCACATTAACCGCTCAACATATAACAGTTCTTCAGCTGTCAGCTAAAATAAGTTGTTCCATGTTTTACAATCAGCACAAAAATTAAGTACACTCACCTAAAAGCATAAGCTAATGGCAAACTAAAAGCAATAAAGACTTCCAACAGGTGCAAACCCCAGATGTTTCCATGCATTAAAAGCTTTTTCTGCTTCACGAAGTAGAATAATACATGTTTTCTGGGTTCCCGGAAATCAAGTGTTAATGCTACACAACCGTAAGTCTACCTAGAAGGAGCCATTACTTGCTTATTTGATACGCATGTTTTGTTTGGCAAGCTTCCCTTCTCTGGGGATGAATCAGGAAACACAATTCTTGCTCATGAGGTACGGAGAGGGAGGACCGCAGCATGACGTCTGCCCTCACGTATTAATTGCTGAGCTCTAAAGACAGCATTTGGAAGTTAAAAATGAAGATAAATCCTGCACCTCACTTGGAACATCCCCACTGAAATCCTGTTGCATCCAGCTGAACTTTTATTATTTTCTAATTGCTTCAATATCCTTCTTTCACAACAGACAAGGGCTACTAGTTTGAGTGCATGGCTTTGCAGTCAGCTGTGCTGCTGAATAGTATAAAACAAATTTTACTCTCAGCATATGTGCAAAGTAAAAATGAGCACATTTTCAATCTTGTTACTTAAGTAGAAGACTAAGAGTGTGTCCACAAAACTGCTCCTGAACAGATTAACCTCCTTCCACAGGCAGACTTGCTCCAGCATAACAAAGTTCCCACGCGGCACAGAGGCATGACAGCTGCCCTCACCTAAAGAGGCATCAGCATCTCCTTTCCCTTCAGGTTCAAACAATTCCCAATGGCCCCTCACCTCCAAACAAATGTCTTTCTATCTTTCACAGCTGGTTCCCTCATCATATTTCCTTCCTTTACTACCTTTAAACTTTTCTTGTATAGTTTTCCTGTATATCATCTTTGATGGAGAAGAAGACATCTCATACTGTCTCTTAATCCTTATTTTTCCTAACACATCCCCATCACTGCAGGGATAAAAGCTTGGGCTGACTGTTGAGCTTTGGTGTGTACTATAGAATACTGGAAGTTACATGAACCAGTGGACACAGAGACCAAACCAAACCTATATTTACAACATCCATCACAGCATCTAGATAAGATGTACAAGAAACTCAAAGGTACACAGCAGGAAGAAGGTATTTTGTACGTAGTGAGTAACAACGTAAACCTCACAGAAATGTAAAAAGGTAGGAAAAAACTAGGCATGAACAGAACAAGCACCCTTTCATAGTTCTACCATCAGCCCCGTTAACACACGAACTCTCCCTCCTTCCCTCCCCCCAGGTGTTGCGACCCAGGGGAAGGTGCTCAGAGAGCAGCAGTGGTCCTTCCCTAAACACCTACTGCCTTCCCCAGCGCCAACTCCCCATGCTCTTAGTCTCGGAACACCATTCTTGAGGCTGAATGACCGGGTCTAATGCTCACCACTGCTACAACTGCATTTGTAGACCAAAGGAGGAGGCAGGACACGGGGCCTGGACTCTTACAGGAGAGCAGGAGAAGCCCCTTCCCTTGTCAGCAGCAGCAAACCACTGGGGTAAGGTGCAAAGCCACTCTTCGGAAAACCCCAACGCAACCCATGAAAGCTGCCTGGGGCTCACACACAGCGAGGGAGCACTGCGTAGACACAACCCACTTCACCCCAAGGCGTTCTCAAGGCACTAACAAACTGCGCTGTGCACCTACTGTTGAGCATATCCAGTGGTGACTCCCTACATGGGAAAGGGCTCTGCATTCTGCCTTACCAAAACAAGGTAAAAGTTATGTTAAAAACACGCAAACAAAGAAACAAACACCCAACAAAACAACTTAGTACAGCAGCATTTAATGCCGATATGCCCTCCACACTGCTTAAGCAGATCACAGAGGTTCCTGCCTCCCCCCTTTCCCTGCTCCATGAGGCAGAAGGCGATCTACCAGATTCCCACAGTGATACGCACCTGCCCGCAGAGAGAAGCTACAAAGATGCCCCACACAGGAACCAAAATGGCACTGAAGGTGAACAAGCCGAAAGCCGGGAGACACACACACCCCCCCACCAGCTTCCCCCCTTCCCCGGCACCCTGTTTTAAATACCTCTAGAGACAACACCAGCCTTTATCCGCCCGGCACCGGGCAGATTTGTTAACCTACCCCGCCAAGGCCTGACCGGAGCCCGGGCCTGGCCTGCGCTCCCGGGGAGCAGGGGGCCTTGCCCGACCCCGGGACACGTTTCAGAGCCGCGCCGCCGCCGAGGCGTTGGGAGACGGGGGCACACAGCGGTCCGCCCGGAGGAGCCGGGACATACGGGGAAGGGGTGGGGGGATTTGCACCTCCACCTGAACGTGGGTGGCTAAGTAATG